CTTTGAGAATTGTTATCTAATCCGATCAATTTCGGGCCGGTAAATAATGCGGCTAAGTTAATAGCAATTTGGAAAGCAGATTGTCCAAGAATCATCTTCCACATGTTGAACGAGATTAATGGCCCTCGGCGCGATTCCGGGTATCTGTCGAGTAAATCTTCGGTTGGCGGTTCGGTCGCAAGTGCAAGTGCAGCGAGAGAGTCCATGATTAAATTAACCTGCGCCATAGACCGATAAGTTTAAGCATATAGGGATATCCTCGAGTGAAGAGGAGACAGATAACTACCCAAAGTAATTGAACAGCAGTGAGCACACTTTTTTGCTGATCACTACTGACAGCACTAACAAATGTTAAGACAACAGCAGTGACGTTCACAGTCAACTGGAATTGCAAGAATTTCTTAACGGAATCGTTTACACTTCGCCCCCATAAAAGAGCTTTCACGATAGAAGAAAAGTTGTCGTCCATCAATACGATCGAGGAAGCCTCCTTAGCTACTTCAGTTCCAGCGATACCCATAGAAAAGCCAACGTCTGCAAGTTTGAGAGCCGGTCTAAAGAGTTTAACATTGATTAGCATTTCTTCCAAAATTTGAACAGTACAGCTCCACATTCAAAACCGCGCAACATACCCGTCATTGGTACCGTCGCCAGTTACAGCGACTGTCTCACCCAACTCTTTCAGTCTCCCAACCAGGATTTGTTTGTCAGTGGGACTACTTCTCGCAAGAACTTGTAACCTGGGAATAACTTTATCCATCTCTTCTTTGCTAAGTTTCCTAAATTTGCTTCCTTCCATGATAATCCCTCCTTTCATGTAGATTCCACATTTGGTTGCGATGGCCTTGGCCGTTGTTAAGTTATCACCAGTAACCATTCTAACGAATACACCTGCTTTTTGACATCTCGCAACAGCTTCAGAGACTCCGTCTCGGAGTGGATCTTCGATGCCCACAATACCGAGTAACGTAAGATTTGATAGAGGGGGCTGAGACAAATTCAGACTTGCAAATTCGGCATGCGGTATGTCTCTGTAGGCAATCGCGATTGTCCGGAGGGATTGTTCAGCGTAGGAATTGATAACTTTGTTGAGTTCGTTAAGAGTATCAGGGGTAATTGTCTCGATAGTGACAGCACGAGTTGTGCCAGAAGACGACGGAGCCAAGCGAGCTATAAACTTGCAGCACTTAAGAATCATTTCGGAGGCGCCTTTAACATGAATTCGATGAAGTGGCTGGTTGGGGTCAGCTGTAACATCAGAAGGATAGGTGGATTGGGGAACGGTAATCAAAGTTGACATAGATTTGCGTTCTGAACTAAACGGATATAATTGGTCAACTTTTGTGGTGTCCCTGTACTTTGCGAACTCGCCACCAAAAGATTTCTGAAAACCTAACAAGGCCGTTTCCGTCTTTGATCCAACAAATCCCTGCTTTCCGTGTTCATCAACGCCCTCAAAGGCAGACGAATTTACTGCGATACCTTCGTTCAACAATTCCATGAATTTCGGATTGTTAACTTTGGAGGGAACGCTAGCCACTTCCTTTTGGGAATCAAAAGAAACCGTTTGCCCGATTGTACCAGCGACAACAGTCATTCGATTTTGAGTTAATGTACCGGTTTTATCGGAACAGACCGTTGTTGCGTTACCCATGACTTCGCAAGCAGAGAGCACACGAACAAGATTGTTGTCCCGCAACATACGTGTAGTAGCGTAAGCCAGCGAAAGAGTAACAGCAAGGGGAAGCCCTTCAGGTACAGCTACAACAACAACCGTGATAGTAGTGATGATAATCTGAAGGGGAATTCGTAAACATTGAGTGGTATTTCAAAGTCATAGAAGTGTGTCATACTCACCCCAATCAAGTTCTCTAAAACTTCTTTGGCTGAAACCTGAGTTGGACCTTCGACAAACCCTTTGTTGATAGCAGTGGAAATAAAGTATTTAAGCAGTAACGTAATCAACATCGTGATCGCAGCTAGACCGCCCAATTTTGCAATAACTTCAGCGAGAGCATTAAGCTTTTCTTGAAGAGGTGTGGCTTCCGCCTCGGTACGCAAAGCTAGAATATTGCGATTTACATAATGTGAATCCTAAAAAATCAGTGGCCTAGTTTGGAATATTATACGTACCCATCATAGTCTTTCCGTGGTAAGAATTCACCCCAATAGCGGTAACGACGTATCTACCGACGCCTTCACTGACTTTACTACCACTTAACAAAAACATATCATCGGTTCCTTTTTTAATGGCATCACTTTCACCAGTTGCCGCACTTTCATCACATTTCATATTATGGCCGCTCACGTAAACTCCGTCAGCAGCCAAGATATCACCAGGCTCCACCATCAAAATATCACCAACAAAGATATCATACACAGATATAAGCGATTGAGCGCCGTTACGGATCACCTTCACCTTGCGATCCTCCTTTTTAGCATTAAGTTTACGGAACTGTTTTTCTTTCTGATAATCGTTAATAGAGCTCACAAGGACGACAATAATCACAGCAATAATAATGGCAACGCCTTCAACCCATTTAATAGCCTTTGATGGATCTTCGACAAGCTCTTCGGGGTGCTTTTGAGCTTCTATGGATTCCCAAAGGCCGACTCCAAAGGAAAAAATGGCGGCAACAGTTAAAAATATCTATTTCCGTATTTCAGAGAAACATAGTTAGCAAGTGTTAACGACCAATCCAGAAAAGAGGAAAGAAAACAGGACAATAAAATGGCAGAACAGAGATATCTTACCAAAATTTTATCTTGGAATGCCATCCACATCAACTGGAAAATGGATTTGCTTTTTGTTTCTGGCAACCTGTTAATCCCGAAAACCTCCTTTCTCTTGACGATATCTTGTCTTAATCTACTTTCATCGTCATCTCCCCCGGCAATCTGAACTGTTACTGCGACTGCAAGTTCGGGGTCTTTTTCTTTTCCTTTTCCTTTAGTAGCACTGACGGGAGCTTCACTCTTTAAATTCGCTGGCACTTTCAGTCCTTTTTCAGGATCCGTTAGCAGACCTTTGCACAGCCCTTCCGGCCCTCCAAACTTCTCGAGTAATTTCGGATTTTTCGGATCAACCAATGCCTTCAAATCCTGGGCCGTGTAAGGGAAAGGGGAGTCAACGACAAGCGGGGTGGTGGTTTCAGAAGACGGTTTTATTGGTTTTGTTTGTGACGGGTTATCCGACATATTGATGGAGTGGGACGAATTCATATTGTTGTCGGCAGCCATGGTCAAAGGTTCTAATTCGGCAGCCTCCTTTGACAATGTTGTCATCTGTATCTGTACGCAAGAGGTTTTGCGGAATTAAAAGATGGTGGATAGTACAGACGGTGGATGAATTTAATTTCTGTTTCTGGAAGCGAAATTAAATTGTGAGAAATGATTTTCCGTTTCGCCACTCGTCCTTATTGTACCACCTCAAAACAAACAATAAATTCACAAAGGTGTATTACGCTGAAATGTAGGTACAGAGAAAGTATCAGGCAAAGAAGAGAACATAGAGAAGCAATCAAAAATTCACAGATTAAAGCATTAAAATTATGCTTACCTTGCTAATGCAGTTCCTTTGCGACGCGACCCACCAAGGATAGTTGGAGAGAGAAAGGATTAGTATCTGCAGACTTGGATGATACCGCTGGCAAACGCAACAGCGCAGATATATCTCGGGCAGGGACACAGATACGAGGATGAATTGCGGGATGAGATGGGGAATGGCACTCTCAGTCTGGAAGAAGGAACCATCGTATCGCGCTCACCCTGTGTCTCCCGGTTCTGTATCAATCCATATTGTATCTATTATCGTCCATTATCATCCACACCAAGACGGAACTCGGGATTGCATGCATGATGAATTGATAACTGTGCGTTCTATGCGTTCATCTCAGCGCTAATTACATGTTCACTTTTATCTACGTCCTGACCTGCATTCGGGCCCCAAACACCTTGGCCGTGTTTTCAACCATCATTTGATTCACAATCTCCATTGACACTCCTTTCACTTTGGCCACCTCTTTCAACGATACTATCAAATTTTCCGGTGTATTATCAGTTCCCTTCGTCGGTCCCAATGCTGGTGCATCCGTTTCCAGCAACAGATGAGTCAACGGAACATTCTTGACTAATTTCTTAAACGAATCCGACCGGACAATACTAGGCGGAACCGAAAACATGTATCCATGTTGTACACCTGCCAGTGCATACTTCACATTGCCATCAAAAGCGTGCAAAACAGCCGAGTATTCTATTTGATTGCATTCACGAAGTGTTGATATCGCATGATGCCCTGCTGATCTTGAGTGAATATTAAGCGGTAGATTCAGTTCCTGTGACACCTCTATTTGTGACTTGAATACATCTTTCTGTATTGATTTAATCTCATCTTGAGAATATCCCGGCGGGTTGAAGGGCGACGATAATATATGGGGAGAATAATCTAGGCCAATTTCCCCGATGCATACCAATTTGCTTGAATGTCGCTTAATAAATTTGATCATCGGAGGGACATCTGCCAAAATGACCGTTCGAAATGTCTTCTGTTGAGATTCGGCGTGTGATGCATCCGAGACAGAAGGAATATTTTGAACTGGGTGCAAACCTAGAAAAAGCGAAGGGATGTCATAAAAACATGACAAAGTGTATTCACAAGACTGCAAAAGCGTACCCACACCAGCGAAAATTCTTGCCTTCTCTTGGCTCTCTCCGAAACTTTTGGCAAGCTCAATCACATTTGGCGCATCATCAATAGTTTCAGAAACTGCAATGATGTTATATATTCCCGCTTGGCGACATCTGGAGAGAATAGTTGGCAAAGATGTCCGATCTAGTTGAGTGACATGGCAATGTATATCGGTGAGATCGGCAACCATGGTTAGAAATGAGAGTGCAGAATTGGAGCCAAAGACACTTTTCAGAGACGGCAAAGCGGAGTTGGCCATTTCTGGACTGACTTTGGCATATCTGGACTATTTTAGCTAATTCACTTAACATGTGCAAAGTTGGTTTAGTGGTATAATTACCGCCTGCCAGCACTTGTTGACAGCGCGCGGTAGACCCGGGTTCGATTCCCGGACTTTGCATTTTGCATTAGCTTTTAATTCTGACGCTGCGAAAAGGAAATCCCCGCGGAACTCTCACGGCTTTTATTTTGAATAAAACATTGATTGTATACATTTTATGGTTTATTGGGCCGCTGATGAATCGCAAAAGTTGTTAAAACCGCAGGCGTTGCGGACCCATCCATTACTAGGCATCTTCAAATAACGAGAGGTCAGCTAATCATCTTCTTTTTTTCACTCCTTCTTCGCCTCCTTTTCCGTCTGTTCTTTCTTTGCTTCCTTTTCAGCCTCTTCGACAGCCTCCTTGTCCATCCATTTCTCTTCCATCTTCTTCAACCGGCTTTCCAATTCCTCGATTCTTTTACCTAATTTCACAGTCTCGGATTCCCCACCAGCACCTTTCAATCCAGACAATCTTCTCAAAACCCAAGGCCAATCGATTTTGGCATAAAGGCTTTCTGTCTTCTCGATATCACCTAGTTTATTTTTCGCTTCTAAACCGACCAAGGCTGAGATAGCCTTGAATCTCGTCAACAAGTCTGAATCGTAAATACCGTGGCAAACGGTTTCAACTGCAGTACGACGAAGATGAAGTTCTTGATATCTGCCGGATGCTGAGATAGCTTCATAGAGAACACCTTGCGCTCGAGGTGGTTCAAGGTTCGTACCATCCGCAGAAATTCGAGAGAGCAGGTATTTGAAGCCTTCCAGAGATCGATGATAACCTGTTATTCAGGAGCACAGAGAACAGGTTAATGATTGATATTATAAAAGAATATAATATTTGTATTACCCAACGCCATTAAGGCACCCGAACGAACGATAGCGTGTTGACCCATCTTCGAGGGATCTTGAGCCACAGACAAAAGGAATTCCAAATCATCAGGATGTCGTTGATAGCCAAGAGCCTTCAGCAGGTTTGCTCTCGCACTGAAGGATATGGTCATGAATTGTGGTTAGTGATTTATGCCAACATAATCGGGTGATAACATGGCAATACAGACCGGTAGCCGATACCGTTTTTTCCAAGAACATATTTCGCTGCGTCTCGAATCTTCGAATGACGAATATAGCATGCGGACGCAATTGACCATAGTGCCATGGGGTGATCTTCCGATTTTAACATATCGGCCAAGATGTCAATGGCATAAGGTGTTTTTGACTCGGATAATGCAGAGGCAACTAATTGAAAGAGGTACCGACAACAACGTCAGTCTTGTCCATCACGAAAGGCCAAAATAATATAAATTAGAGGTTTAACGAACCATGAGTTCTGACACCGAAGAACTTTTCTTCCTTGATAGCGGTTCTGACTTTCTTCATAGCACTATATCCCCCATTCGTGATCAATCCTTTATAGGCCCAAATTCTATTTACTAAATCTCTACCGTTTCGAACGATGTTACCCAAAATGTCCTCGCTAGGGTTGAAGTCCACAGCGCACAATATCTTTCCATTAGGATCAATTTCTACGACATTTGGTTTACTCTTCACGCCAGTGACCACGGCGTATGCTCGTTGATTATTGCCATCAAACTTAGCTGTTGCGGTATACACTTTTCCCTCCGAATCGGTGACTTCTACGTCAATTGAGAAGGCAAAACAAGGAATATTGTCTTTCCTGGAAACCTGAGTTTGCTCAAAGCAAAATTTTACAAATTCCGTGTCTTTGTTATGTTCCATAGATACTTTCAGATGAGGATATCCCTTGGAGTAAAACCATTGATCGAAGAATTGAACCAAGTTAACCCCAGAGTGAGATTCCAGTGTGCGGCGAAAGTCTTCAGTTTCCACAACTTTAGATTGGAATACTTGAAGATACTTCGTGACTGCAGGCCAGAAAACGTCGTCACCAAGGAGGTTACGAAGCATCTATGTTGATGAAAGTTGTCAGTTTATAGGAATAGCATGTAAATTCATACGCAAGCCCTACATGAATTCGCCAGGCGCCACCGGGATACTAGTAAGTGGGTAAAGCAAAATGTTAGCTCTCCATCAAATTGAAGCGTTAACCAAGAAGTCGCAAAATCTTGATACCGTATGATTATCAAATAATTGCCAGCTGGTATCGTACAATCTCGAAACAATAGGCCTCATATATCGTTTGGTTTCATTAATATATGATAGCGCATTCTCATAGAGGTACCAACGATTCATGTCTTTTGCTCCAGAAGGATAATTCTCGGCGATCCAAACTGACTCCATATCTAAAGAATGATAATTTTAGAATAAAAATGAACATTAAGACACCGGGAAAATAGTAGCATACATGTAGCCCACGATTCTTTTAGCCAAGCATGTTCAAAATGTCTTATAACGGTCATATCTGAATTAGTCAAACAAATGTTGGTATTTCACTGACTTTAAAGCTATGATATTAATCCAGTCATACCTCCCTATATTGTGTTACAGTTAGTCAAGTACAACTGGATGAAACGTCAGATAAGGAAATAGATCATACAAAATATGTGTGGGCCATCTCGTGGATGTTGATCGCTTTTAAATATACTGTCAGAAAAATCATTCCCAGATGTCAACACAAAATCAACGATCTACGCACTGTCAACGTCAAACTTCCTCTCTTTGGCGAGCTTATCATCCATTAGGTAATGATCACCTTATGAAAAGCGTCAGTCGAGTCACCTGTGAAATAGAAAAGGAACTGTAGTGTACCCCAGGTGACAAATGAGATGTTTTCCATGGCCCCACGAATGTCGGGGTTGGCAATTTGATAGTACTTTGGCCAAGGGACTATGATATGGTCGAAATACAGAAGTTAAATGAGTCTTTGTTTTTCTACAGGCCAGCATGTATGTAACTCGCATCTGTTAAGAACACGGCCAAAACTTACACTTTACGCCTAACTTTTTCGATAGCCACTTTACCATGCTCGGAGTTTGATCAAACGCATTAAGTATGTTGACCGATGGTGTACCCTTTACAGCGTAATATTTGATTGGCATTCCGTCCACTGCACCGTGGTCAACCTCTTCAAATTCTCCAACAGCGAGACAGAGCAAGTATGAAGGACATCTGGATAAGAGCCCAATATAGTGTGTCAGTTGATAAATCGCTGCTGCTGACAAATCGCAAAACTTACGGATAATCCAATTTCCAATTCGTAGTCTTCATTCCTGCGTCGTTATCTAGAGATTCGCTAATCCAAGATCCGTTTGCTACCGCGATCATATGCTTAGGGGCGGTCAAATGAAAATCTAGCTTTGGTCTAACCGTGGGAAAGTCCACACAAGGCAACCAGTATCGGGCCCTCTCAGTTTCATGATCGGTAATCGCATAAGACCCTTTGGTTGATGAAGCCGAAAAGAACATGCCGGATACGGGGCGCTCAACTTTGTAGGTGATAGTGACTGAGCGGGTCTAGCTCAAGTGTATCAGTAAAAGTGAAATTAAATGATGTGAATATAAAGAGCGAACGAACAAAGTGATCAACTTAAGTCAGAAGATTTGAGTATTATAACAGACATAAATTAGTGAACTACCGACCTCATCCTTCGTAAATGGGACGTTCCACCAAATTGTCAAAGAATCACCATCGTAGTCCCATTCTTTCAAGCCATTTCCTTGGACATCTAAATCTTGGAAACCGACAGCGTTCAATTTGATACAGCAGTTTTCCTTCGTTAAAAGCGATGACGTGGTGACTGAAGCGTTTGACCTAAATGTTTGAACGACCGCGGCCGAAATGGCAGAATTGGGAATATCGAACTTGAGCGAAATATCTAAAACAACCCAATTGACATATTACGTCAGAAACTCAGATCTTGTTTGGCACAAAGGGATCAGTGGTTGAAGACCGAATAACAACAGGGTGCATACCGAGATGAATTGGTTCAAGTGTCAGCGACGGAGCGTAATGTAAAGTCTATATAGGCCAAAAATGCATAGTGTTAATTTGTTATTGCAAATATTCCGAATATGAGTTTATCAATACGCACTGCTCCAGGCAAAGTAAAATCTGACATGCTGTACGAGTTATCATATTCGGCCACAGTGGTCGCGGAAGCATCGTCAATAATGCCAGTACATAAGAAGTGTCTGCAGGGCATTCTGGCTGAAGAAGTGGAACTTATAGATCGACGATGTTTGTAGTCTTGTATATACGGAAATTTGGAGTAATTAGAGAATTTTCTTGTTGTGGTTGCCTCTTGGCGAAAAATTACACCCAAGATGTTCCGATAACAATTGAAATGACGAACTAAAGCAGACGCCACCGTGAACAAGTAATTATCTTTCGAGGATTTGAATATATAAATTGTAAAATGTCTATCGACGGAGATTACGGAGAATCATTATCTATGTCGAAGTCAGCACCCCGGGATTAGGCCCACTATGGCGCATGGATTACAAATTTAGTTTCTAATGTACAGACTACGTAGGAGAATTAATAAATAGCAACGATCGAAGAACAATCAACGACGATTCAACCATCTTTTGCGTCTACTGCTGCTAACCTCTATTTAGCACTGCTTTCATCCCGCCCTTCTCTCCAATCCCAGCAACTTCTCAATCTTGCTCTTCATGGCTTCGTATGATTCCTAACCCAATCGATCTGTCACCCCCACCAGGGTTTGTGCGCTCCTTTGTCGTTATCCATTCCCTTTCAATTCTTAAAAAACACCACATCCACCGTCTAATGATTTCCAATATTTCAATAACAAATACCACTGCTTCATGATCCATGTATAAATGGCTGCTCAACTTTATACTCCATGTAAACCGAAATAGAAAGTCTAGAATAATCGACAGATAGTACCATGCAAAATGGAACTTCAACGTTGGGCGTAAAAAAGGAAAGAAGAATTGAGATTGGTGACGGGTGTTGTAAGATGTCGATCGTATAGGGTAATCTGATTCAGTGAGAGGGATGTAGCGGTTGGACTTATAGCCGAGATTCCAATCGATAAAAATATCCCAGTAGAAGGAATACAAAGTATTGAATAGGGCGAAGAGAATCCTAGAAAATCCAATCTAATAATAAGTGTTCGAATTCTCTGTAGGAC